CGTAGAATTGAAGCTATATAACTCTTTTTTTAATCGCGAAAGCGCTGTGGAGGGCGGATTTGCCTACCTCTGCGATTAAGCGTTGGGGGGACCTCATTAACAACCTCAGGTTCTGCAGCAACTCTATTACACGATTTCTTTGCCTTTGGAGTTGTAGAGACCTTATTCTCGCCTGTCTGAGCGATATTAAAGTCATTTTGAAGCTGTATATCCGCTTGTTTAGCGAGCTGATCATCCTGCCTTTTACGCTTCTTTTCCTCTGCTTCACGAAGCCGTATTTCCTTATTTGAAGCGCGAATTCGCTTGCGTTCTTCAATTAAAAGCCTCTTATTTTTCTTCTCTTGCTGCTTACGAAGCCTTTCCTCTTCTCGTGAGGCCTTCGCAAGTTGTAGAGCTTCATCTTTCTCCGCTTGAAGATCACGAGCTTGCTGAATCTTTTTAGGGGAGTAAAACACCGCGAAACCGTCCTCAGGGGCTCGTAATTCAAAAAGAAGAGGCTTCCCTCGCTGGCGCTTCTTCTTCTCTAATTGTAGAGCTTCTTCAAGGCCTTGGCAGCGTAGTTTCAAGATGATATTCTCTGTAGAGAGATGATGCATCGTAGAACTCAATTTTTTGGCATTTTGATCGTATAAATCAACAACTGCGTGCTTAAGAAGCCTCTCAATCTTTCTCCAATCCTCTGCACTAAGCACTGAGCGAGATGACTCACTAGATGAAGGCCGATTATCATCATTCCGATTGAATCGCGATAGGACGATATCAGGATTCAACGGCCAAACACCTACCGATTTCCACGAAGAAGCGATATTCTCAGTAGATAAAGCGCTCTCCCATGACGGCCAAAAGAGGCGAAAAAAGTCTCTTTTCGTAATATGACAGAGGCCTAAACTAGTATGAAGAAATCGCTCTAATTCATTGCTGTACGCGATTGAGAGCGGCGAAAAGATTCCAACGTCAAGCGGCTGTAGCGAATGCGTAGAATGAGGCGGATACGTCATCAAGAGGATCTTATTCGCTTCGCAGTAGTTAAAAAACTTCATATTGACGTGTGAGCCGTGACCATCAAGTATAAGAAGTCTCCAACGTCTTCTCGCTTTCGCTTTAGTCTCTCGATCGAATATATCACGTAACCACGCGTATCCTAGCTCATCATTTGTCCAGCCGGAAGGGGAAGATGCAAAGAAACATTTATGTTGAGAGACTTCAAAATCCTGCAGCCAGGAATCTTGAAGTTTTGAAGATACGGCTTGATAAATAAGACCTGGAGATAGCGAGGTCCCATCTGCGCAAATACAGGCGATCGTAGTAATCCATTCGCGATTTCCATCTTGAAGCCGTTGTTTCATTCCATCTCGCTCAAAGGCCTTCTTTGAAAAGATCCTTTTACCTTTAGCGAGGACGCCGATTAAGAAACCTTTTTCATCCATATTGTAAATATCTTCCGGCTGTATGTCATATTCATCGATTTTGCGAGCTAAAAGCTCAAAATATAAAGCGTATTTCCATGCTGAATCGGCTCGCTTTCTAGATGAATCAATT